CTTGCTTTCCCATTCTCCACAAAAGTGGAAGTACAGTGTCTTTCACATTGGTTTCAGCCTCCTTTAACAAAACATTTCAATAGTTTTATCTAAGCATAAGCATTCAGGACTCCCTTGTATTTGTTTTCCAGTGAATATATCCTATTGTTCTTAGAGCCTAATTGTTACGTTCTCTTTAACCTGCAGGCTATGGTGAGCTGACCACAGGATACCAGCTGCTCTCCAGGGTTAGGAAATGGGTCTGAAAATATAAATCACTTCTTTCTTGGCATATACTAGACACAGTCCAGGATATGTTTGCATTAGCAGTTGCCATATTGCATTAGGATCTGTGGTGATTAGATTTTCGGTAATGGGAGCGGGGCAAATGTATTACATTGTTATACAATTAAACATATTGTCAGACTGAGAGTGAAAGGATAGGGTAATGGAGAAATGGGATAAGACAGGCTTTTTTTTCGGAAGGAGCAAATGTGGAGGGGTCACGTTAGAGCCAGCAGGAAGTTTAAACAGAGTTTAAGGCGGTTGATTGAGGAAACATCCAGACAGAACAGTGGAAATCATGTGAGCAGAGAAGGTTGTTTTGACATGTTAGGGGAGAGGGAAGGATCAACGTGCTTGTGAAGCACCAGCAGATAATTTGAGCTGGATTAGGGTGGGCAGAGAGATGCTACAGGATCTGGTGTTGTAATAAGTGCTGAACTGCAGAAGGCAAGAGAAAATTGAGAAAGTGCATTTAACCTTAAGAAAGAATAATGATAGAGAAGTGACTTGGAGCAGAAATTTGGTCCTGATTTAGCAGCTTCAGTGAAGCTGTGTTTACCAAGAAAGACTGTTAAAAAACTGCTAGAATTTTTGGAGCCATTGTGACCATGCATCTAATGACTCGCAGTTGTCAGTATTGTTCTCCCTTTTCCTTCTTTTCAGTTCTCTCTTTCCTTTCCCTCACAACTATGAAAAGCTTCTTGAAGTTAATATAAAGACTTTGGTTGATTTTTAGTGGACTATGGATAAGCCTCTTCTTATGTCATGGCTGAATGCTGATTTCTGAGCCGTTCTGGTTCCAGGCAGCATCTATAATTGCATGTTATTATTTGAAAAAATAATTATTTTAATTACTTTCCAGAAAGCTTGATACAAAATAATCTATATTGTTTTGCTTATTTTAATTGGAGTACTTTTCCACACTGTAATGTGCCTGAGTAGGCCCATTCCATCATGTTCTCCATTTTATTTTAAAGTCACTTGAAGAGCTAATATTTAGTTATTGGGCTATTTTCCTTGATCTCCAGCCACAGGGATTTATTTTTAAATAATGCTTGTCTTATTTTTCATAGCTGATGTGACTGATTTGGATTGGATTATTTTGTTTGACCCAAACTGGGGCTGTGGTTTGAAGATCCAACCAATCTGTGGGCAGTCCTTTTTTTCTTTAATAGCAGACTAATTGGCAAACCAATTAATCTGCTCATCTGTGAAGAGAAAATTTATAGCAATAAGTAGTTCTATTTCCAGAAGTCATTCTCTAAAGTAACATTACAGTGGCCTTGTTTACTTCATGCCCTGCAACACGATCCAGTGCTTCAACAGTAGCACAGGTCAATTAGTGGACAAATTAAGCAATTATTAGCCACTAACAAGGGTGACTGGCATCATTACCCTTCCTGTTTACCAGCAAACTGTTATTTTAATACAAAGATCAACAAATAAATTAGGGCATCTGTTGTATTGCCATGTCTGCCTTGAAGTAAATGATATTAAATGGGCTTTGGTTGCTGCCAAATTCTTAACCCCAGCCTAATGAGATACACTGATATGTCTCTTGCTGATTATAGAAGCTGTAAAATTTAGTTTGTATTGATTTATTAACAGAAGGACCAAGTTCTCTGCTATGGTATTTTTTTAATAGTCTGATATCTGTCTTTTTACTTAAACATTATTGATCCAGGGACTATTGGGTTCCTCTGAAAGACAAAGTTATTTGTTAATTGCGTTGATTATTTGGATGCTTACAATAATTTTATGGTGAGATTTGTATATGTAGATGTATGCTTTCACCTAAAGCTTCCCTTAAGTTTCTTAGAACTGCCTTTACTTCCAGGTTAGAGTTCTGTGCGTCGGTTATTTTTAAGTCTTGCTTTGTATTTTTATCATGGGGTAAGACTTCTTCAGATTTAATTAACTGTATCCTAAATAAGAAACTACAGTAAATCTCTTTGGACTGGGTGAACATGTCTGCAGTATCCACTAATAGACTGTGGTACTTTGGGAAATGCTGGGTCTCATTTGCCACAAGCTGCTGGTTGCCCAGGATCCGTATCTTCAGTCTGGTATACCATGCGCAACAGTGAATCGTGCAGAGAAGAGGCTCACCCGTTACATGTTTATACAGAGCCTTCCACATCATAGCACATTCTTGGTTAGGGAATAATAATTCCCTGTATGAAGCTGAAAATCGTAGCATCTAGTTGCCAAGACACCTTTGCCAAGCTCTGTGAGTGATGCTGCCTCAATAACAGGAGCAAAATGAGCAGAACCTGTACAAGCTTCTTCCCTGGCGCAGTCAGAGCCAGAGCAAAGCTCTGAGAGTTTGAGTTCTTGTGTCACTTTCTGAATTAAAAGCAGCCACGTTATCCCTGAGGTATTTGTGGACCTCCCTGCTGCATGAAGAGCTGCCTGTCACATGTACACTCTTGGTGCACTGGCAGAATCTCGTGGCAAAGTTGTTCCACCAGGGTCTTTGGTGAAGTGATGATCGTGTACACAACGTGATATTTATACTGCTTTTATTGCAGCTGCTTTGAAAGATCATACCTGACCTAGGATAAAGTATGTTCTGGACATACTGATTTCTGAATAGTTAACTCTTCCAAGTATTTTAGAAAACACAGAGTCATGTGATGTTTTGAGTCCAGTTGAAATCTCTTTCAAACTAAAACAAGCATAGTGTTTCAAGAAGCCATGGTCTAAGTGTGGGCTTGTATCCCTTGAAGTAGTTTTGAGCCCTCCAGGTGTGTGTACTGTGGATTATGTTATAGACGATGCCAGAAAATAGTTAGAGTAGCAGTTTAACATTGCTAAGCCTTTCATGTTTGCATACAGTTAGGAAACCTGGTTATTCAGGATCCAACTGTGTCCCTGTCGTTTCTTCGTGTTCTTGCTGCTGTATAATGAACAAAAGACACAACGCCAGCCAAAAAGCAGATCGATGTCAGTTTCCTTCATTGGGAGGAGGTAATTGCAGAAACATTTCCTGAGCAATATAATTATGTATATACTTATTTGCCACAGAAATTCAGGTTTAGTCTCTTCTCAAGTCGAAGACCTGGTTGAAGAAAGGGACTTTCTCTTCTTCAGGATTAGTGACTAATAGATGAAAAAATAGCTGATGTTTAGAGTCAATTATACCTTGATCATCTTAGACATTTCAGAAGCCTCATTTTTCCCCATGTGCCTCAGCAAATTAGAATTCATTCCAACAGCAGCATAGATTCAGATTTGTTAGTATTTGAAAGACAAAAGGGGCCTTAGGAAATAGACTAAATGAAGAAGTTGTAGGGAATGTGAGATTTTGGTCCCATCTTTAATATATGTTTCAGTCAAGCTATAAAAAAGTGTGTTTAACCTGGCATGAACCCAGGTTTTATATGTTTGTTTTTAAACATTTTGATTGGATCACAAAGAGTCAGGTCTAAAGTCGGCTTTTTTGAAGTCAGCTAGTTAGCCCATGCCATCTCTTCTATGCTGAATTGTTGCTTGTTATATCTATTCCCTAGGGCTTTGCCCTGTCCAGCGTTAAACGTTTCTGATGACGGGATTCCACTCTTCCCCTGGAGAGACAATTCCACAGTCTGATAGAGCTCGCCATTAGTGAAATTTTACTGATGATCAGCCTTAATTTTTCTCTGCTTAATTTTATCCTGTTACTGGAGCGTAGTGATTGATTTATTCTGGGGAAATTCAGTAAATGGTTCCTGCTTCACAGGATGGACCTTACAATAAATAGCAAATTGTCATGACCTATCTGTGGGTGTCCTGAGATTACACAGGAACTCAATTTATCTTGACATTCATTCCCTGGAAGCTATTTCTGTCAGTACCAACTCAGTGGAGGAATAGGCAATGAATTTAACTGCCAGACTGCCTGCCTCCTGCCCCTGCACCAGCCATGGAGCAAGGAGATGTTTAGTTGCTCCTTGAGCACAAGGCCCAGAGGCAGGAGCTCCTGTGGGGTCTGGTGCAGTGACTGTGCCCAAAGGAAGGGCCTTTAGGAGCTCGTTCCCTTGTCACTTGCCTTGGTTCCACATTAGAGGAGTTTCATCGATGAGGTGGAGGTACTCCTGGGTTTTACTGATGTAAAGTAAGCGAAGAATCTGACATAAATTCCAGTCTATCAATCCCACAGTTTCCCTGTGCCTGGTACGGAGTTTATGTAACTCTCCCAATTTTAGTGAGGCGTTTTACATCTCTCTGTACACTCAGATGATCTGAACTCTGTGTTCATATGTCAAGGGTAGGTCTGGGCATATGCTCAAATAAATTTGAGGTGCCTCAGCTCAACAAATTATCACTCATGAGCTGAGCTGAGGTATGTGCCCATGTATGCATGCTGGGTACGTAAGGCACTAGGCTTAAACTACTGCGTTTTACTTCATTTCACCACTTAGGAGGAGAAATGTTCTGTTATTGTGGCTCAGCTCGTGAGCAGTAACTTCTCCCTATGTCGAAACTTGACTGTGTCTGATAATGTAGCCATATTGTACTTGCATTATGAGGATGGACTAATGTATTTATCCTTAAAGTTCTTACTTATGGAGATTTTTTTAGAAGACGGTAGGTGTATGTGATTTTTGCAAGTGGTTTGTTCTGTTGGAAGCAAGAGCAGTGCCAGAAACCAAGAGGAATGATCATTCTAATCTTTTATATGTGAAATTTCAGATATCTGGAAATCATTGATGTCATAAACTCCCCTCTTCATGCTCTTCTTTCATTTTTCTCAGGTATAATTGATTTCCTTGTGAGCCAGCATCCTATTGCAAAAGTACTAAGAGACCACCTGGTCTTCAAGATTGCACCCATGCTCAATCCTGATGGAGTATACCTAGGAAATTACAGGTATGGTGTGGAGTATGAATCTGTGTGTTGTTATATCTACCTGTTATGTCACCCTGCACTCTTTTGTCACTGAATCTTATATGGCTTGTTTCAATTAATTCCTCTTAAACTGGAGGTTCTCATGTGGCTGTATGCTTCCTAAAGTTCCTGTCAAGGAAGGGAGCTCAATGGCCAATTTGTTTGCTTCAGGAGGTAGGTAGCAACTCACCAAGATAGCAGGGTATCTGCTCTGCAAGCCTCCTCTAGGTGTAGGAGTTAAAGTCAGCTTAGAGTTAGACCTTAGCTGTGTTTTATAAATGCATTCATTATGCTGCTCATCAGCCTCTATGTAAATGTGTCAGTCAATCACAGTTCCCTTCAGCTACCCAGATCATCCATTAAAGTCACAGATTTCAGCCTATTATTGTACTGTAATAGATAGGGATACGTGGAATGGAATAATCATTCCACCCTATGCTAATTTTGCTTCATTTTAGTATTTGAATTACTACTTTACCACCTCCTCTGTTGAGAACCTATTCAGATAATCTTTTGTTTTCCCTAAAATTGTTTGCTCTTAATGCATTTATTTACAAAATAAATGTGCTGCTGAAGGTGATAATGAAAAGCAGTTGATTAGTTGATGATTTGTTTGTGGGGGCAATTACATGTACCACGTAGTTCTTTGGAGAAGCCCCTGAGAAATGTAATATACTGTGTGTGGTTTTGCTTACAGCGCAAGACTAAATAACACAATACACTCTGTAGCCAGGCTACCTTGAGCTTTGATCTAATTAGGTATTGCATTGCTAAGCAGAATAAGACTGGATTATTGTGTGGATGAGGAAACCACCGAGGAAGAAGCTAGAAGTTGCAGAAAATGGCGCTGCTGGCTGTCCTTTGTTTTGATATGCGCTTCTTAGCCCTCCTGTGCTTTGCGACTTACTAAACTGAAATAGCAGGGAAGTGCGTGGGTTGTTTCAACAGTGATTATATATGTTTTATAAATGAAACTTCTGAGGACACATGGTCTCCTTCCAGCTACACTGATACTCCCTCAACTCTTGGCAAAGCCAAAACCAGAGAGCGATATTGCAGTAGTGCCTCTGACAGCACTAGGAATTTGTCATAATGGTCATGTCACCTTGCAGGAATAAAGCCCCAAAATAGCTCTAGAATCTGACACTACTTTGTTTTACTCTGTCCCAGGTGCCCTGCACGTAGGCAACTCCAGTTACAATTAAGTAACTTTAGTTTTCCCCCATAAATTCACGTGCCCTCTAGGTTTTTCTCCAGCGCCATTATTTATACTTTTTGAGAGGCATGCAGGTTTACAGACATGCATATGGCTCACAACTTGGAAAGTCTTTTGGGAACCCAGGTATTATGAAAGGGCATGTGAATTCATTTGGAATTGCTGAGCTTGATGGTATACTATTGTTTTCACTTTTCATGATATGCAGAATTTTCAACCCTCCTGAACTAAAGAGACTTTTAATGAGGTAGTTGGAAAAGCATTTGATTTTCTTGCGATTCTTCACTTTATTTACAAATGGCCTAATGTAACTAATAACTTAAAAATGAGGGTAATAAGCAAAATGCTACCTATTATCTTGAGAAGAATATTAAAAAGCCTAGTAATGTGCCGGCATTGTAGTTAACTAGTGCTGAGTGAATAATTTACAGCAAACACTTTATTTCCCTCTCATACAAAATCCACAAGCACATCACAATTTATTTGCTTGAACTTACTGGATGAATTTTTTAAAAAAATCTCTAAGGATCAATTGCTAGCATTTGAAAATTTAACTCTGAGCCTTCTTTGTGATTGGCTAGATAAGTCTGTTTCATCTCTTTTGGTCTCTGTTCAGATTAGCACATAAATAGGACTTTCAGAAGTCTTCCTTGTAGTGTGGTATAACACAGATCTATTGGCTGGGGACAATCCCCCTGCTTTTGCAAACAAGGTCTGTGGTGCCATATGCAGTTTTAGGCATTTGAACTTCTACGTCCTGTCATCTCCCTCTTTCTCAAAGCAGCAGCTAGTGACTGTTTCTTTGGTTCATTGAAGGTTCACACTCAGAGCTATGCAAGCTAAGATAATGATATGGGTAATTAAACCTCATGCTTGAGTTTGTAAATTGATCTCCTGCCAGTGTGAGAGATTTTTTTTTTTTATTTTTTTTTTTTTTTTACCCCACCAGTACACAGCTTTGTACAATTGGCAAAGTATACTGTCGGATGCACTTCACTGTCCTCAGAAATCCCAGGCGCGGTGGGCACCATTAGGAGCCTGAGTATGTCAGCAGTTCTTGTAGAAGGGATGGGATATACTAGTTCTCCTGTGATCAAAACAGGAACTAACCACTCGCTTCTCCAGGGTGATGTAACAATTAGCTGATGGGATGTTCTTCATTGTCATTTTTGGGGATGCAGAACTTTCACCAAGGATGCGAGTCTTTTGCTCTTCTCCAAAATCTTGTTCCTTTGTTCTGAGCATTTGTGAACTGAGGTTTAGGAGTTTAATCTAAAACTGCAACAATAGTGCCGATACTTGTCTATTATCTATAAACTGTTGCTCATTCTCAAGAGAAGAGACCAAATGGCTTGTGACTTTAAAGTGAAATGTTCACAACCATCAACAAGTGAGTTTACAATCACAGCTACAAAGCACAAAGTGCTCACAGCACAGACACGTGTGTGAGGAAGATTGCTGTGGGTACATTCAGGCAGCTCTAAAAGGAATGGTCATGGAAATGTACATCAATGCCCAATGTATGAAGGTACATGGAAACAGGGTGCCAAACTTTACTGGTTTATTCAAGTAATCAAGAGTTTAAGAAGTGTATTTGTGAACCCATAGAGTTAAGAATGAAAAGACAAGGTGCCTTATCTGACTTAAAGGGGTGGCTAAGCACCTTCTCTAATTTAGAATGTTTGGAAGTTCTGTAAATAATTTTTAGGTGGGTTTTTTTTGTTTTTTTTTTTTTTTTAATAAATGGACAAAAGTTACAATTTGATTTTAATCTTAGATCATAAATCTTTTAATAGAAAGTGAACGAGCATGGTTCTAACTCTTAATGGCTATTACTTATGTAAATACATAAACCAAGAGAGTTTGTGAAATCAACTCTACACTTTATTTTCCATGAAATTTCTGACTGTTTAGAAACCAAACATTTAATTTTCGTTTTTTTTTTTTTTTTTTTTTTTTTTTTTTCTGAAAAGAGCTGAGAAATAAAAAAAACATGGGCAAACGACAGCACAATGGAACAACATTGGCTGGGTACAAGCGTTGGAGGGGTTAGGTGCAAAGTGGAGCCCTCAGAGTGCAAATTCACCTGCAAGTCAAAGTTCTGAATGGCTAATTGGGACTGCTCCTGCTTACAGTGCTAGCTGTTTGCTGGTTTGCTAGCATCATACATATCTGTGAAGATGATACTATACTGCACTCTTTCTTCAGTGGAAAAAATAGCCTCCATAGTCTTTTCTTTTTGCCACATGAGTATACTCAGCTATTTCTAACATACAGGATAATGATTATTAACATACTGGATAAGGGTCAAGGATGTAGGGTCTTTTTAAAAACAGGATGACAGGCTTCATCCCTTTCTCGAAGTCTTTAAAGCCTGGTATTACTTCTAAGTGTAACTGGCTTTGCTGTTACAGCGTTTAGAAAACGTTATGCCACATGGGGTAGTTAATTAAATTGTCCGGGAAGATGCCATTGGTTGATGTGGCTAAAACAGTGAGTCTTCAACATAATTCGCCCTCTGTTCTGTTTGGTAACTTGCCATCATCTCTCACGTGAATTGAAACACCCCTTTTGCTGGGGATGGTACCTAACGTGATGTTTAGTTTTTTGAAAGAACATGGCAAAAAAATAATAATATTTGTGAGTTTCTCCATAACATTAATCTCACCCTCTTTGATGGGTTAAACTGTGAAACAGTTTGAGGAAATAAAGGAAGACTAGTGCTGGGAAGAGAGATTTCCTAACTTTTCTCTCTCTGTTTGCAATATAGCATTATCATCTTCTGAACCTATTACCATCCTCAGGGAGGTGGGGTTAGACTGAGGGGGGGGAAAAAAAAAAAAAGTGTTCTTGATTTAAAAGGCGTGCATCCTCAGGCTTGGCCTGAACTTTCCTTTATCAAGAGCTTGTTCTTAAGCTGGCATTCTCCAGCTGAATGCTGAAATGTGTCCCTGCAGGCGAGATGACTGTACCACACCATCTTAGATTAGTTCCAATTTATCAGCCTCACCTTCCGGAGATGAAACCCTATACTGGCACCAAAAGCGATGTGTTTCTTAGTCTGGGCAGCTCTTCACTGAGGTATCCCAGAAATGCCATGACAAGGCAGATGAAATATCCTGAGCGTTCTCTAAAGGCTTTGTTGCGTGACCCGGTAAGGCTTCCTGTCCCTTGCCGTTTCCGTGTTGCCTTTGCCTAGTTAGCTGTGACAGTATCAGCCTTCAGTAAATTAAAACCATGAATTAGCTGAAAAGTTCTGAACTGTCACTACTACAATATCCTTCTAGCTTGGTTGTAGGGACTGCAAAATTTGTGTGAACGGGGAGAAGAGGGCATACACTGATTCTACTCCTTTCTTATTTCACTGTCAGGTACGATATTTTTGAAGTCAACACAATCTTTACTGCTTGCTTGTGTGAGGGGTTAACAAAGCAATTTGTTGGATGGAAAGGAGGCCAGTCCTACCCAGACTGGAAAGCCAAATTCACCATAAACAGTGTCAGAGTCCGTAGTGCAATGAAGGCCGTGTTGGGATGAAATGTTTTGGACAAATGGTGTGCTTTTGCCCCAGAAACATAGTTTTGTAAGGACTGAAATGGTTTGCGGAAGTGAGTTTAATTTGGCAAATTGTTTCAAGTAGAAAAAGGGAGCTGAGAAGGATTGAGAAACATTTATAAAGGACAATCATCTCTTGATTTTGTTTGTTAATGGCATGATTTGTTTAAAAACTGGTCTTTTTTAAAGATGGTTTTTGAAGAGTCTAAAA